TATGGGTATTTGTTAGATGTTTTTTCAGCAGCTCAGACTGTGACGAGCAGTGACAGATTCACTGACTTCAGTCCACAGAGGCTTTTCTAGTGAAATGGGATGTTGGACAAAGGCCAAAGAAAAAAACGGGGGACGTCAGCATATCAGAGGTTTTTCTGCACTCGTGATCGGTCCTGAACTTCCTTCCCTTTCTGTCACACCGGAAAGCAGCTTGGAATATTTTTATTATTTTATTTTAGGTTGTATAACTAAGTTTGAGCCAGTGGAAACAATTATTTATATGAGATGAAAATGAAAAACCCTTACTTTTCTTTGTCTCTGATTTGATGAGTTTTTCTTCCTGACATTAGCTTTTCTTGTGTTTAGCCTTAAATAGAACTTTGACTGGTTGTAACATTAGATGTTGTTTGTTTGATAAACATTTACTTCAAATCTACTGTAGGTTTAGGTTTTATGTTTTCCAAGAATATATATCATGGACGTTTACACCACAAGAAGGTCACCGGTTCAAATCCCGGTCCGGGGACCTTTCTGGGTAGAGTTTGCATGTTCTCTCCGTGCATGCGTGGGTTCTCTCCGGGTACTCCGGCTTCCTCCCACAGACCAAAAACATGACTGTTAGGTTAATTGATAACTCTAAATTGTCCCTAGGTGTGAGTGAGAGAGTGAATGGTTGTTCGTCTCATTTGTCTCTATGTGTGGCCCTGTGATGGACTTGCGACCTGTCCAGGGTGTACCCCGCCCCTCGCACTGTGACTGCTGGATATGGGCACCAGTGACCCACGTGACCCTGAAAAGGAAGAAGCGTGTACAGAAAATGGATGGATGGATGGTTTACACCACAAAGCATTAGGCAAATAAAATTTAGTGGCTCCTCTGGTGCAAGCTCTATGCAGCCTGAATATTAATTTTGGACAATGTCTGACTTTCATCCCTTTAAAAGAAACCGGAGTGCATAAACATAGTGAAGAATATAGAAAGGACTCAGCCTGAAATTGAAAATGAGGACGGAGGACAAAAGAGCTTAAAAAACTTTGGTTCTGAGCTAATATATACAGTATATATGGTGTTTGCTTCAGAGCTAACACCATATATACTGTATATATGGTGCTAGCTTCAGAGCTAATAAATATAGTGTTTATATAGATGGCATTAGCTTCACAGTTAATGAATACTGCATTAGCTCCCAAGCTAATATATACAGTACATACAGTATAAGGCACCAGGAGCAGACATAAACAGCACCAGCATCTTCTCCCCAAACATTTTCCTTTTTGCACAGCAGTAATGAACTCACAATGTTTGTGTTTAGTTTGACCAATTTCCACAACCTCAAAGTGAGCGTTTAAAAAAGTTATAACTCAGGGTCAGGTGATGATGAGTTCAGATTATCACATAAATGTGTTATTTTGAAACACAAAACTCAGTGATGTGTGATAAATCTGAATTCTATTTGACCTTGAGAGCTCACAAGGTAAAAATAAACCCAAAACAGACGAAAAATCAGTCATCGTGTTCACCATGTGACTGTTACTCAGTTCAGTGTGGAGTGAACTGAACTCGACACACTACTGAAAACTAAAACAAAGCTCACCCTCAGCCATTTGCCCACTTCGGGACATCGTTTTCTTTTGATGTGTTGCCTAAAAAGCCCCGCTGTTACAGCTTCTGAGAATTAAATCCAGTTTTAATTTAAATCATCTGTTCATCCACCATGTTTTATTCCCTCTAAAGCCTCGGCTGCTTATTGACATTTAACTGAGCAATGTGATGAATAAACGTAGGTAGGTGCAGCAGGTGAAAGTCAGCTTTAGTTTGTTTTCAATCGGGCGTTTTTTGGGGGTGTATTATCTGAAGAATGTGAAAGACTCTGTTCTTCAAACAAGAACATGGTTCTCCTGCTGCTGCTTTCTTTCTCCACCCAGAACCTGAACTCACTCACACAGGTTCCGACCATCAGAACTTCACATTTTATCACGAAAAGCTTCCTGTGGTGTTTTGGAGGCATGGCAGGTAAAAATGGTGAGGCTCATCCCCCTAGTGGTGATTTTGAGCACTGCAACAACTTAAAAAATATTTAATTCCAACTAATGTTTTAATGGGGTCCACTGCCCCACTGGCACCCCCTTGGTGATGCCCCTGGGGTGTGCAATTTGAAATCCTATAAACAATAGACCAGCTGACACATTTTCCTTTTAAGGAATGCTGAATCTTTAATAAAACAAAACAAAGAGACAAATATAAAGATTTTAGATTAGAGTTAAACTGTTAAATTTTAGTACAGAAAAAATATTATAACAAACTTAGCTTTTATTATTAATTTGAGTAAAATTGTTCATTAGAAATATAAACAAATACTTTAACCTCATTAAAAAGCCAGTCATGATAATCCTGTTATATAATAAGCCCAATGTATGTTGTTGTTGTTTGAGGTGTTTACATTCCTCAGATCAATACTTGTCAGCTGATTAATTCATGTTTTCCTCCTTTGGTTTGTTGTAACATTGAGTAATTCATTCATACTAAAACAAACAAACAAACTTCTAAATCACAAATGTGATGTTGAACTGTAGCAAAAAGGAGATAATATGATGATAAGATGTCCTCTGTAGAAACTGATAAGTTTCAGCTGAATACATGTTTTATCACCACTGATAATGCTTCATAGTTATTAGGCTGTCAAGAATGTATATGTATGTGGTATGTATTTTATTAGAGATTTAAGAAAATAATATCTTTTAAGTGGTAGTTCAGATATTTTGAAGTGGAGTTTTGTGAAACAAGTGTCTTCACCTGCTTTCATTTAAAAACAGCTAATCTGAGCTAAACCAAGTTTAAAGTGCATTTCTGTCATTCTAAATCAATTTTAATCTAAAATCTCAGCAGCTCATACAAACACTATTTATAAATCTATAAATTACCATAAGTTTTGTATTGCATGTTTATTTACTCAGAACTTGATAAGTTAAAATGGTTTTAGGCTAGCAAAATTAGCAGTAGCAGCAGCTAATCACATTTCCAGCAGGAATATCATTACATTTCAGGTGGAATAATAACACCATGAAAATGTTATAATAGTGTAAAAGTTTATAAAATAACATTAAATCAAATTACCATGACATTTTTCACACTTGGTGTCGTTTTAAGACTCAGCTCAGGATCGCAGTTAGCTTTTTATCTCTGTCAAAGCTAAACTTTTCTTTTAAATGAGGCTGTTCAAAAAGTCACTTACAGCAGGGAAAATAATAACCTTTTTTTCCCCAACATTTTAAACATAAAGATTAGTTTGAAACATGTTCAATGTTCCCTTTCTCAACATGTTTGCACCATCACAGAGGGAAAAAAGCCCTTTCAGGAATCGGATTTATGACTCATCCAGGACTGAAAAACAAACAAATCAAAGAAAGCCTCAGGGCCACTGATAATCCACTCTGCACAAACTCACGAGTGTGAGCGTGTGTGTGTGTGTGTGTGTGTGTGTGTGTGTGTGTGTGTTAATGAACACAAGATGATGTAAGGAGAAGTCTGATGTGCGTCACATCACTTATCACATCATGTCAGAGCTGTCAGAGCACAGCGGACGCCCTGGCCGTGAGGCTAACATGGATGGAATCACTTTAGAGGATTAAGGCTGTCGTGTTTGGATTACGGAGAGAGATTACCTGTCCATCTGTCACCTTCAAGCTGTGGCAGATCCTCTGCCTCTTTTTTTTTTTTTTCATATTTACTTTCACAGACTGATTGCAAACATGACACAGACCTGATCAGGGTTTGGATCTTTACAGAAATGACCTGATGTTTTGTTCTTTTTCAGAAAGCAGTAAAACATCTGTTTTTGTGAGAGTTAAAGTGTTAAACTAAACACACACACACACACACACACACACACACACACACAC